TTTTGACGTACGTAAAACCGGATAAAATCTGGATCGTGAACTGAATGCTTGATTCTGATTGGTAAATTTGAAAATTAGTATATTCTCCTTTCTCGGTTCAATTAAAAAATTTTATGATGAAAGAACTTTATACAGAAACATCCCAATATCGTAACTGGCGTTTCTCAAAAGCAAAGTTACAAGAAACTCGTGAAAATAACCACATAGTAGCTGTAGAAAGAGTAAAGAAAAAGGTGTTAGAAGAATCAGTACGTGAAAATCTCAAATAAGTGACGAATACCGAAAAATATGCTTTGTGTTATTAAATCTCACTTTTTTTTCAAAGATCTTACAAAAGCAAACTTCAGATGCTTCTTCTGCATACAGTGATCAAACAGAAAGTGTATCTTCGTCAGAGATTGAATATTTAACTTTGGAAGATGAGTTGGCATTATGTAATTTTTACGAAACTCGGATACCTCTAATGGCAAATCACTTTCCAAAAGAAGTTATCGAGAATAAATTCACTGACAAAGTAAAAGTAAATATCATTGCACAAAGATATCTCTTAAATGATACATCACATACTGTTGCTTTGGTTAAAATTTAACCTTTTTCCAAGGCAACTGCGATAACTTTTGCCAAAAGATTCTATTTGCGAAATACTGTAATGGATTACCATCCTAAAGAAATCATGTATGTAAATGTATCATCTAGCATTGAAGCAACATTTGCTGGTTTTTTTTTTTTTTTTTTTAATGAGTTGATCATTTTGATAAAAACAGTGTTACTTGTCTGTTTCTCGCTGCCAAAGTTGAACACTCTTTCGTTGCTATTGAGGAATTTACCAAGGTGTTCGAATTTCCTAAAGAAACGATATTTGAACTCGAACTTGTAGTTTCACAAAGTTTGAGATATGAATACGCGGTTCACCATCCATATTTAGCTTCATTTGGATTATTTCTAGATATGCAGGTAGTAGCTATATTTTGTTATGTTTATCTCATTAAAGATCAAACGATTCTCTTCTTATGTACTTATTATTATAGTTATTCTATTAAAAGAATTTCATAAAGGATATCCCTAAAATCAAGTTACTATACGAGAAATCTCTTGAATTTGTCAATAAATCTCTTTTTACTGATTGTATGTTTATTTACCAACCATCACAAATTGCCTTGGCTACGCTGAGAATGGCCGCTAAACAAGATAATTATGACTTGGAAAAAATGTATGGATTATTTTGAAGTTCAGTACTATTATGTTTGATTTTCTAATTATTTTGATACAAATAATTAGCTATCTCCAGTTTAAATTCAAGTCTGATCCAAAAGAAAAAGTTATTGAACTTTATAAGATACTTGACGAAATTGAAGATACAATTAATAGTCACGTAAACGTAATTGTTGAGCAAGCAAAGGAAATTGATGCTCACTTGCACAAGTGTAAAAACCCGGAGAAAAATCCGAATAGTGCTATGTAAGTGAATTAGTATATGTATATGTTTCGTTTATATGTTATGATCTTATCTTAATTGATATGTTATGATCTTATCTTAATTGATATGTTATGATCTTATCTTAATTGAT